TCGTGCTGACCAACTACTTACAAGAGGCGGTCAGCTGGAGCCTGTGCTTCTCCGGCGCGGGCTTCCTGTGCCTCTACCACGTGGGCGTGACCCAGTGCTTGAGGGAGCGCGCCCCGCGCCTGCTCCAGGGCGCCGGCCGGTTCTACGGCTCCTCGTCAGGGGCGCTCAACGCCGTCTGCCTCGTCGTGGGCCAATCAGCAGGTGCGTCCCGGGGACCCCGCGGGCGGGCGGGGAGGCCTGGGGGACTCTCGGGCGGAGCCGATTCCGACCGGAGCTGATGGGCGCGGAGAGAGGGGTGTCTGGGGACCTCGTGCCCTGCGCCGCGGCCAGCGGTCTTTCCGCCCCGCACACTCCCATTTATTCCCCGTGCAAGCCTGGGGGACTCAGGAGATGGCTACCCGCTTTCGCGGAAGAGGGATCCGAGGGTCAGAGCTGGGAAGACCATTCCTAAGGTTACTTGGGAGCGGAAGAGGGGCCGAACATTGGGACGCAGGGCTGGGCACAGGACTTCCGAGCGGGAGAGCAGGGATCCCGCCACTCCCGTGGCCCGCGCAGCAGGGAGGCGGAGCCTTCCAGCGGGTGCGGCAAGACCCTGTCCCCACGCCTGCAGACTTTTGCTGCTCCAGTGTCCTGGGCTTGGTCCAGAAGGTGGAGCAGCTGAGTCTGGGCATCTTCCACCCCGCCTTCAATCCCACGGAGTACCTCAAGCGGCTACTGCAGCGCTCCCTACCTCCCGACGTTCACATCCGGGCCTCCCAGAGGGTGGGCATCTCGCTGACCCGCTGGCCGGGAGGCGACAACGTCATAGTCACTGAATTCGCCTCCCGCGATGAGGTCATCCAGGTGAGCTGCTGGTGGGCAGGCCCCGGGGCCTTGATGGGCTCCATCTCCGACTGGAACTGACCTATCCAAGCACTTCCTGGAGGAAACACATCTGCAGGGTAGGGGTGCGGGTGAACTTGCAGCGCCTCAGTTGGTTTACAATGGAGAGAGTCGCGCCGCAGAGCGGGGTGGCAGGGTGAGGAGGGAGACAGCCCAGCCCTGCGATGGGGCACCTCCGTGGCACTCAGCGGGTGTGGCTGGCGACGGGGGCAAAGTCGGGCTTTCTTAGAGCCGCGCGGCCCTGCCCCGCCTCCCCGCCAAGGGCTGCTCTTTCCAGAGGCATGCCTGCCCAGCCCCCACCCCGGCCAGTCCTCCAGGCGCTTTTGACATCGAGTGTCCGTTATGGGCCAGCCACCATGCCAGGCACACACACCCAGATCTCGGCTAAGTGTTGGGGCTCCTCGTCTGACAGGTGTGAGATACACGTGCCCACATCTGTCAGTATTGAAATAAAACAGGAGGACATGCCATGGTCAGGGAGAGAGTGCGGGGGCAGGAGGCGGGGAGGTCAGCAGAGTCCCCAGGTGAGCTCAGACAGGTCGGGACACAGGTCTCAGCCCTGGAAAGGCCTCAGCCAAGAGGCCTGCTCTTCCCCCAGGGCAGCTCTGCCCCCCTCACCC